ACAGTGTTACTGACTTACTTGCAGCTGAGACAGAGAGCGGAGCAGGTGAAGTATTCATCTGGGAAGAAGGAGTACAGTGTCATCTTTTCATCTGATAGTTCTCCACAGAAACGCTCACTCAGAGCCTTGTTGAAACAAAAACAGAAGGGATTAGAAAACAGAGAACTAGATGGGAGCTGAAAAAAGGCTGAGGAGACAAAAAGGAAGAATTAAAAAAAAAAAAAATCATATGCTTTTTCTTAAAAGGCCTCTAATATGGTGCTTCTTCACTTACTTCTAGTGCATGAAACACTATCCCAGGCTGGCGGGGGGACCGTGTATGAGTGTTCTTCACTTGCTGCTTGATGGCCTCTAGCAGCCTGCTATAGTCTGTGGGCGGTGTGATCGTCTGAGTGCCTACGTACTGCACTGAGCTGAAGGCCTCTGTCCCCAAACCCAGGTCATGAAAACGCTTCTGGAGGAGTGTGTCTGCATAGCCGGCCATCTTTGAGTCTACAACAGGAAGGAAAGACAATAACGTTGAAATTTGTGGCACAGGAAATTAAAACCAAGGGAAATAATTATCCTAAAGTTCTGCTTGGAAGTACCTTGGCCCAGGAGTTGCGTGTGTGTTGTTTCCTGGAAGATGATGACTGCAGGCCCCAAAGAGGACAGGGGTACATCCAGACCACAGCGAGTGGACAGGGCCTTTAGCTCTGGGGTGAAATGCTTCAGGTATGCCCCTGAGGCACTACTCAGGAACTGGAACATGTCATTGTGAAGACGCTCTGCCCGTGTGCGATACACCACTATATCCGACACTGCCAGCACCTGAAATTGAAATAAAAATGTATCTGGAAATAAGAGAACTTGCTTTTATCGTGAAAACATTGGAAATGAGAAATAAAGTGAGTTTCACTGTTCTGTTTACATGATTAGGACGTGACCATTACCTCAGCAGAAAAAGCAAAGACAACACTAGAAGTCAGCACACAAAATCACAGACTGCTCCAATTATTCCACCCAAACCAAGCAGCAACCGCTAAATTTACCTTCAGCAGCAGCCGCATTCTCTGGTTCTGATTGGCTGCGGCTCCCAAGAGGCCCTCTGTATCCAGCGTAATGAGGCTGAGAGTGGGGTTGTAAGCAGCCCAAACTCCCACAGTACAGGAGCTGGGGGACTTGGAGGTGTAGAAAACAGTCTCGCCATCAAACAGGACGTGGTTGAGCGTGTGGGACTTGCCATCACCGGTGTTTCCAAAGATGGAGAGGACCTTGACGCCCGCTACATCGGCACAGCCAAGTCGCTCCACGAACTCGGCCTCATCCCGGACCTATAGGATGAGAGAAGAAAGAGCAACAAGAGACAGGCTGGTTACAGAGATGAGCTATTTTGTGGCACCGTGATACAATTGGGAAAATTACTTTTACTGATTCTTTACGAACGGTATTATTTATTTAAAACAAAGAAACAAACAAAACAAAAAAATAACTGCGGGGGGATTAGTTACTTCAATCTTAACGCTGGTTGTTCATACAGATTACCTTAAGTACACAAGAAAACATTATCTCTTGTACTTTGTAACACTGTGAGGGTGCCTTCCATGTGGGTCAGCTGTGCTGTATGACTCACCAGGGACTTTCCTAATATACAACACTGTCTGCTGTTGTGCTGCTCTTATTTACAGCTTAAATTGAATGTTTTTTCACAGTATTATAAGCAAGACACCATCCACACGTTAACGCCACGGGCTGTATACAGACAAAGGCTAAAAAGACAAGAGGCTAAACACGACGAACATCCAAACACGCTGTTTAACGTCGTATTAGCAAAGCGTCGTGAAGTAGCTAAAGCCTCAAAAAACTTGCTTTATTAGCTTCAAGACAAAAAGATCGATTTGGCGCTGAAAGCAGATTTGGCTCATCCAACATTTTTTTCTTTTCGTGACAAAAGATAGTTAAGGGCCTTCCGTAATAGGAGTCTTCCCCTTTCTAGCCTAGCGGCTAACTGTTAGCCGCCGTTAGCTCAGCTGATGTTAGCTAACTTTACCTGCAGGTTTTCTTGCTCGTCCACGAGCAGGAAGCTCCGGCCGCCGCCGTTGGGACGGTCCTCTGGCTTCAATGGGCTGATCGACAAACTATCCATTTCTTTCATCAGTATATCGGACATCGTTGTTCACCTAATTGAAACGCATTTGTGGCAGCGGCTCCAAAGACCAAAGCGAAAGTTTAACATGTCGCCTACCTGTCGGTCAATCACAACAACAGCGCGTGGACTGTAGGAGGAGCCAGATGGGGCCACGCAGGGCAGCAACGTAAGACGTGCTTGTTTCACTTTGGTCTAAACATGAGCACCACCGTGTGGTCAGCCGCAATACAGCACCTCACATGCCATTCAACAAACTTCCTTCATCAGGGAATGAGAAAGCATAAAATAAAACCGAGTGGACCCATGTGCCCGGTCTTTTGTAGCCCCTAATATATATATGTGTATATATATATATATATTATTATTATTTTTTTCTTATTTAAGAATAATGATGTGAACCAAACACAAATAACGTGCATCTAACATTTCTTGCTACGTTAATACAAAATAACACATTTATTATTCGTCACAACTAAAGTATAACGCACAAAATCAAAGTTTCCTTAACTGACAGAGAGTATTTTATCGGAGCGGTGCTGCCATGCTAGAGCTGCTTGCTAATGTTCATTAAATATTTGTTAGCAAAGATCTATAAATATCACATGTCACTGGCTTCAGAGCGGCGCCACTGCTGCTAACATGACATGGAGAAAGAAATTCCAGCATTGCTGCTCTAACGGCTCTGAGTCCTTCCTTCCTTCCTCCCTCATCTCCTCCCTCCCTTCCTTCCAATGTCTACGGAGTGGGAAAATGCCAGCCCAGGCTTTGGCATAGTCGCTTTTAACACCCTTGTCTCTAGCCTGTGTCAAATAAAATCGCCACCTGGGACAGATCCAGCAAAAGATGTAGTAAGGGCAAGAAAACGAGCGAGTGCGGGAAGGATGCAATAAAGGATGGCGTGGTTAAGGATTTAGAGAGGGTCCTGGCCTTTCTCCGGGCTCAACTATGAGAGACAAATGTCTGAAAGAATCAATTATAGGCCTACTCCCAACCCATCACCCCTGATTAATGAATAATTAAAGCTTCTCATTGCAGGGCTATCTAACATCCATGAGGCCATGAAGCCGCTAAGATTACGCAGAAACAACTTCTCTTGATTTTCAGCAAATGACTATACAGACCTGTCCTCAGTTTCCTTAACAAAACAGGTAAACATCTTTGTATGCAGTTTGTGCTTTTTGCTACTCGAGTATCCAGTTATTCCCTTTATGGTGCAATTAATATGATACCTGACCCAAATTTGCACCCATATCCACAATCATACCTCTGTAAACAAACACAATTTAGTGTTTAGCTGCTATAAGAGCCAGAGTCATCATCATCACCCAGACAAGGGAACGATGCTTATAGGAGAGACTGACAGAAAGTCCTGCAACCCAACCTTAACATAACTGTGGTGGATTTTCTTCTTCTTCTTTCTTTTCTATAAATTCGGATGGGGGGTATGGGGGGCATTGCCCTAACAAGTCCGAGGCGGGACCGTGGTCCACTTAAACCGCTACCCCCGCTGGAACTTGTAGTACTGTGCTCCTCGGCGCGTCTCATGTTGACATGCATAAAAACTACACTTCCCCAAAGCTGTCACAGAGCGCTCCCGCCTCCCATTGGCTGGCCGCTCCAGCCGCAGCCCCAGAGAATGAATGAAATTGAAATAGCTGCTACATTACATGTACAATACCGGGCTCTGCAGTGTTGCATTCTATCATACTATATCAAAATGGCCACAGCGGTACAGAACCCCCTCAAATCGTAAGTACAACACGTTTCCTGAGTGTTTGCGCTTTTTTCGGTCATTGTGCATGCTGTCACTGTCAATTTAAGCCCCTCAATTTCTTACATATTTCCCCAGCATGATTACCAACGCGTCTATATGCATGCAGTGCATACAGCGGAGAATGAGATAACGTCAGGAGAGGCGAATCAGCCCCGGAGAAAAGTTAGATTTAAAGCTGATGGAGGTTTCTGGGAGGTTTTTTGGGCATGAGTGGTGGGGGGGATTATTGCGCGCTCCGATGCAATTCATATAATCATTTCTCTGAGCCAACAGCAGCGTGTGTGCAGGGATATGGAGGAATGCTGGAGGTAGATTTGGGTGACCCGGTATGTCCCTTGCCAGTGTAGCCAGCCAAGATCACGGCCAAAGCCGGGCTGGAGTGGCAAGGCTGTCCGGGAGGAAGGGGGATGGTTTAGATGGCTTTACAGTACCTGTGTGTGTATATTTTGTTGAAGGGGGGCTGAGAGGAGGTAAACAAGTAGACTGAACGAAGTGCTCCGTTCCCGGGTTTTTAGGCTGCAGTGTTACCTTTACCGCCGGACCTCTTGGAAACGTATAGTGCGAGGTAAAAAACGCTCCTCCAAGACTTGCTTTCATCTTCGGCGCTTAGAATAAAGCCTGGAATCCAACCCAAAGCCCGGCGCTTTACATTTAGTGCAGCTACATCGCAGCGGACATTTATCTCCACTGACAGACGTTAAAGCGGCGGGTTTCCCGGTGAAGTTTCTTCCGCGATGATCCCCTTTGTGCAGTTTTTTTTTTTGGGTGGTGGGGGTGGTGGGAGTGGAATGTCTTTTTTTTGTTTTTTTGTTTTTTGTTCTGAGACTGGTTTCAGCGGAATGCAGACGCCTGCTGCCCGCCTCAGCTCCCGGCCAAAAAGGTGGCTGATGTGCGTCTGTCAGCGGGTACGCACGTTCAGCCAAAAAAACAAAAAACAAAAAAACAATAGCTCGAGTACCTTGGAGTGTTTGAGCATACAAACGCTCCAGCTCAGGCAGTTTGAAACAAAGAAAAGTCACAAGACCTATGTGCCAAAGGAAGGAGGGGGGGGGAGGCACATCGGATGCTGTGCAGGTTTTTACCTGAGCAGGGAGATGGGATATAGTGTCTGTCTGTCAGCTTCTCCGAGAGGCGACATTTCGCGCATTTCCATGAACGACTGCCCTGTACGTGCCTGCTGTGAAAAGCTCCTCACAGGAGAGAGGGAACTGGATTTGTAACGGTGCTGATTGGTCAGCGAGCCCTGATTGACTGTGATGGTATTTTGGGGGTGTTTTGGTTCAAAGTACTTGTACTACAACGCAACGCAGGGGCCACAGATATAACGCAAACACGCATGAGATGAATCATTTATTTTTGGTTTATATATGCTCTAAAGGGCAGGTATGTGGCAATGCCGATGACGGGACGGGAATGGATGGGTGGAAAAGGATGAAGGCTCCTCTTCTCTCCTCCACAGGATGCCCATCCAAGCAAAGAAAAAGTGTGTCCAGATTGTTCCCAGAGGCCCTCAGTGGCACCATGTCAGGGGATTAAATTGACTCATTTGCATGGAGTACACACCAAGACACACAAACAGAGAACACAGGGTTTTGGTACGAGGAGGAGAATAGAATGGGGGGTGGGGGGAGTGTACAAAAGACAGCAAAGTAAGTGGTTAGAAAGAGTGACTAATGAACTACAGCCCAATTTTGAGTGGTGGACTTACACTGATTTCTTTTTAAGTGCTTCAAGTTAGACCAAAACCTCCATATTGTTAGCCAGTATCAACCCTGCAGGGATGCTGGATTCCCTTAAAGCACGTGAGAAGAGGACAAAGCTGGATGTATTTATTTATTTATTACACAGGGCCACAGCAATCAAAGCGGCCTTTAATATCTCACCAACTGCATAAATGCCATCATTACGCAGTGTGGGTTTAACTGCGTTCCAGTTACCGCTCTGCAATGGGCTTTTAAACAAGCCCTTGTAATTAGCATGTCTACAAACAAACTTGCTATTAGAGGCTTACAAATTAGGGGCCCATCCAGTAAAATGGGCCAAACAACCAGCAAAATTGGGTTCAAAGTCAGCCCTAATAGGGTAGCTGAGCCCTGCGCGCCTGGAGACAACGCCTGTTCCCATGAATGTCCCCAGACCTTGCTGGATCTCTGCGGCGAATTGGCTTTAATTCTGTGTATATAAATCTTTGGGAAGCTGCTGGTCCCCACTGTCCTGCTGAGTGTGAGCGGGACACTGTGACAGCCAGTCTACGTGAGTGGAGGTATGGTGGAGGGTTCATGTGCAACAGCAAATGAGGGGAGGAGAACACCGAGCTCCATTCAATCTGGTGGGCATTTCCCTACCAGCCCTTCTCCCTGTCTATCACTCTCTCTCTCTCTCTCTCTCTCTGCTGGATTAGACTCGTTTATAATCTCTCTTTCTCCCTCCCTTTTACTTCCACTCTGTCCTCCCATCACCCTGCTGCCCTCTCTTCCACTATATGCCTCCCTCCTTCTTCGCCGCTTTCCCCATCCATCACTAGTTTTGCCATCTCTCGTTTTTATTCAGCCATCTCCTTTCTCTCTCTCCCTCTCTCTCTTTTTGTTGTCCATTTTCCTTCTTTTTGGCCTCAAACCATCTGAGCCCTCTCCCCTCCCACCACTCTTCTTTACATTGTGAATCAAGGCATGGCCACTCTTTTAATAAACTACATCGATGAGAAATTCCTACGCATTCTCTCAGATCCCTCGAAACTCTGTTACATAGCTTACAGCTAAGAGTTCCTTAAGATGTATCTACTGTATATTTGGGCCATCCACTGCCAAGAAAGGGCTTTTAGTATACTGTCACCACATTATATAATGTTTCATAAGAGTTATGGTGTTTACAAAAGACACCCTGAATATTTGGGCTTCTGGATGTCTGCTTATAAGTCATCTTTAAAATCCTCTTCAGATGAAAGTCTTTCGGGAGGAGAGCGCAATTAAATGAAATTTCAGACTTTGCAGCAATCACTTAAAGGCGCAGGTGGCAGAACTGATCAAAATGACAGTGGATGGCGTGTGCATTTCCACGATATTACTTCCCTGTGCTGGTTAGAGAGGGAGATGTAGATAGTTGCGCGCGGTGGCACTGGCAGCAGTCGTGGTGGCAGGGCCCTATATGATATTATTTCTGCCCTGCCTGACTGAGCCGAGCTAAATGAGTTCTGTGTAATAACCGGCTCTGTGTGCAAACAGCCCCGCGTGATGGCTGAAGCCACAGCCTGAGCATCCATTTCTAGATCTTTCCCTCTCCTTTCAATCTCTCCCTTTCATTCCCTCACTCGCTCATTTGTGTGGCATCACGCGTGTGTACGGAGGTAGACAGGAAGGCACACAAACACGCACACACTGTTGCACTCTCTCATTTCCTCTCTTACTCTCAGTTTTTTCCTTCACCCGTATGGGAGTAAGCCTGAGGTCTGATGTTTTTAAGGGTATTTCTTTTTCCGACTTATTCCTTTCATCATCCCCTTATTTAGACTTTCTATCTGTTTTACTTTTTTTATGAAGACAGGAGAGAGAGAAACACACACACACACACACAGAGTGTGTGAGAGAGAGCGAAAAAGAGAGAGACATAGATAAGTATTTTTAGCTCTATGACCTATTTCTCCAGTGCTACCTAACTGACTGTCAGTCAGCTGCACTGCTTTGGAACTTTGCGTGATTTCCAGCTAGGGAATTTGGAATTTGTAGTTCTGTTTGGTTGGAACTTGAAGTCCAAACTAAAGGCGTGGTAGGAAAGGAACAGAACTCTAGTCTCCTCAACATTATTTCTTCTTTCTTGTCAGTCCCCATTTATATTATTCCCAGTGTCTGTGCGTGTCCACTGGTTCCCTATCAGGAGTTGTTGAGGGAGGAGTCAACAAAAAAACCCAATGCCTGCTTTCCTCTGCAGCACTTTAATAAGGATGCACAGTGGTGTGGGGAAGTGTGGGTGTGTAGGTTTGGTGGGGTGGGCTGGGGGCCACTAATAAACACACACAGGTAGCCACACATGCAGACACACGTGCGCACCCAGATACAGAGGTAGGGAATCCATCGCCTTAATAAGAGGCCAAGTGCAGTGGTGATAAATCTCACCTGAAGGAGCTGTTCACAGGCAGATTGCCTTACCCTGATGTACTGCCCTCAATGCACACTGCAGCCAGTTATAGGCTATATACACCCACCCACGCGCGGGGATGTATGCGCACGCAAACACAAACAGTCAGCGAGCATAAACAGGCACGCACGAGCGATAGCCGCACGCATATGTAGAAACAAACAAACGCAAGCGGCAATCGTGAACGGACACATGCACATGGTGGGCCTGTGATTCACAGATTTAGAGGGTCTCTCGGAGAACCACACCCAGCGGACAACCAGGCAGACGCACAACTCTTCATTAAAATCGCATACAGCAGGTAACACAAAGCGCTGACAGAAACGACACGATCTGTTGCACGGCCCTGCCTGTTTCTGCCTCCCTCCGTCAGATCTCTCGTCATGTTCAAATATGCAAACAGTCAGTTGCAGACACACACACACAAACACCCATGCACATACACACATGGCCATACCCAGTGCTGTGACAGCCATTCGAGGAAACTGACGCTTTCCAGCTGGTAGCGTGGCAGACGTCCGCTCCTGCACAGACACAGCCACACTCACACTCCTGTCTGTCCATCTGTCTGTCTGTCACTGTCAAACTGAATGTGCGGCCTCTTTGTCTTTTTCTGACTGGCGTGCACGCTGTCAGTCACACACACACACACGCACGCACGCACGCACACACACGTTTTCATTAACCTGCATACAAGAGTAGGACTGCATTAGTGCATGCACTCCAAATGTATGTGTCTCACTCTTCAACCCAGTTTTTTTTTACTCTTGATCTGCGTTTGCCAGACCACATCTCTCTACAATACTTCATCAATATGCATGCAATATCTGCTAGTGTGTGTTCA